GGGGTTGGGGGGGGGGGGGGGCGCAGACGAGACTGGACAGAACCATCCAGCACGACGTATGTGTGTGTGTTCACTATTTGCATCGACCGCGCTATTTGTGAGTGAGTGTGTGCGTACCTTGAGTGAGCATGTCTCCTACCACCGGAGGAGTTCATTGGAAGGACGCCGGTGTCCCCGGGACAAGAATGACGTCAGCACGCCCTACGGATCACCACGAGGCCCCGTGTGTGCTGCTGTTGCTCTTTCAATCGGTGGCCGCGCTGCCTAGATAGCGGGCTGACCGACGAACGCAAAACCACCGTGCTTTGGCGAGAGAAGTAAAAAATAATAAGTAACTTGTTGTTCTGTGCCGCGTGTTTCAGGGGTCCCGCATGGTGGTGGAGCGACTAGGAAAGCTGTCGTCGATCGAGAGACCAGGGTGGTTCATCGCCATCCCCGTGATCGACAAGATAGCCTACCGGGTGAGTTTCGATTACTGGTATTCTTAGTCGCGTCACCGGGAGAATACATCATGCTGCTGAAGTGACCTTCTAAACGTGCGTGGTGTGTCGCGGTTTACAGTATAGGCGAGAGAAGCGATGGTAGACACCGACGAGGTCACCAGAGCTTTCTTTGTTCCGTGAACAGCTGCAGACAGCATGGCGGTGACGGTCCCTTCACGTTTCAAGTGTCGAGGTTTCACCTCACCGATCAATAGGCCGGCCTCGAAGCTTGTGCCCCGTGAACAGCAGTAGATAGCACGACGGCGACTACCCTTGAAGTTTCAAGTTTCGTTTCGAGCCATCGACCAATAGCCCGGCCTCGAGGTCTTGATCTCGTCCTCTTCCTGTGTGTAAGTCGCCATCGCCTTTGGACAAATGTAACGGTTCCCTGGGCTGTTTCGCGATCGAGAGGTCGGGACCTGTCGGTGGTTGTAGCGTTGACTTACGGCGGTAGGCACCCCGAAAACGCTTGCCGTCATGTGGTGCCGGCTTCTTTTTTGGCGGCGTAATTTCATGTTTTGGTGTGCTCCGTTTCACCCAATAGAAAATGAAGAGTTCTTGTTTTGATGTGCGGCTCTACTTCAACAAAGCAAATACGACGAAATCGAAAATCCCGTGTTATCGCTTCGCAGTACAGAATGAGAAAATACTTGAGAATCCTGTGCTTTGATATGCTCCACTTCACCGAAAAGCAAAACAGGAAATATTCCGTGTTTCGTTGCGCTTCAAGTCATAAAAAAGAAAAGTCTCGAGAATTCCGCGTTTTGACGTGCTTCACTTCGATGTAAAAACGAACACGAAACAGGTTGACATGCGCGAGAGGAATATAAGCATTACTCCCCAGGCGGCCATCACCAAGGATAACGTGAGCGTGGAGGTCTCCGGCAACTTGTACGTGCAGTTCGAGGACCCTGAGAAGGTGCGGAACGGGGGGGGGGGGGTACTCATAGTCGTGCATGCCGTAGTCGTTGGACCATTGGCCTCGCGTCCCTACAAAGCCGGGACGGAGCACGCCTGGTTTTCACCGGACCAGGCTAGCACATCGCCAAGCGCGAAACGCCGTGAGTTATTCGGCGAGTCGCATGAAGGATGCGCTGCATCTTGCTGAGGGTGCGGACGGGGTGTACTCTTTTTTGTGTTTTGCATGTCTTAGCGGTTAGACCATGGACCACGCGTCCTCGAGAGGACGGAGCACTGTTCCCACAGGACCGACCACCGATGGGCAATCTTTCCTTCCTATTTTGCCAAAAGTGGCTCAAGTTTTTTCCCCTAGCCTACCTGTCCTATCGATACCACGTCCCGCCTTTTCAACCCGCTGGGGGGTGGAGAATTTGCTGCTTCTAGATCAGGTGGCAGTCACTTGCATCGTCGCTGTACCCTTGCACGGGTGCGCTTTGCACGGGTCTTTTTTGCGTGCAAGAGATAGAGGACTCTCACTCGCGTTTGAAATCAGGTTCGGGTTGTGTGTTGAAAGTACAGTAGGGACGTAGGAGTAGGATCACGGTGGTTGATTGCGCGTTTACGTAACCCGAACGGGTGGGTTAGCACCGGACGATACGTTGGGGTCCCCTTCGCGTGCACACATGAACAAAAAAAAGTACGATTTTTTTAACGTATGCGGCATGGACTTTTGCCACTTGGCGAGTGAAAGATCAGGAGGGCCGTGAGTTCAGAGCACGGGCGTTGCAAGCACCTCCACCACCAATACCAACTATTTATGGCGACAACAAAGAGCAGCAATTTTTGTTTTGGTCCTTTGTCAGTTTTCCGCTTGCACCCGGACAAGCGGCGTAACACGGACATTGCAAGCACCGCCGCCACCACCCCCAAAGCAGCAGCACAACTCCAAAAGTAACAACAGCATCAACCACGCCGGCAGCATGATCAACAACAACCACAACAAATAGCAACCATGCAACCACCACAACGGCAACACCAACATAGTTAAATTGCGTTATTTGGTCTCTTGGTCGGTGTTCCACGCGGACCTGGGCAGGCCGCGTACGGCTCGGCCAACCCCCTCTACGCGGTAAGACAGCACGCGCAGTCCAGCATGCGTGCGTCTATCGGGGAGCTGGAGCTGGACGAGATTCTGCACGCGAGGTGCGTTCGCTGTCGTTATTTGATCACAGGTTCTCCCTTGTCGGAAGCTTCACATATGTGGTGGTACCCGGTACGTTTGATCGGAGGTCTTGTTGGAAGCGTTCCGTATGTGTGGTGGTACCTGGTACGTTTGATCAGAGGTCTTGTTTGAAGCGTTCCGTATGTGGTGGAGCCTGGTACATTTGATCAGAGGTCTTGTTGGAAGCGTTCCGTATATGTGGTGGTACCTGGTACGTTTGATCAGAGGTCTTGTTTGAAGCGTTCCGTATGTGGTGGAGCCTGGTACATTTGGTCAGAGGTCTTGTTGGAAGCGTTCCGTATATGTGGTGGTACCTGATACGTTTGGTCGGAGGTTCTGGGGGAGCTCTTCTTATAGGTGCCTAGTACGTTTGTTCACAGGTCTTCCCTCTCCCTCTCCCGTCCTCCCTGTCTCCCCTCTCGCTCGTCTATCTACCTGTTTGTGCCGCTTCTTGGTCAGGGCGCAGCTGAACTCGATGATCAAGGACACCCTCCAGTCCGCGGCGGATGCGTGGGGCATGGAAGTGAAACGGTACGAGATCACGGAGATCACGCCAGACGCACAGATCAGCGAGGCGATGGACAAGCAAGCGGCGGCGGAGCGGATCCGTAGGTAGGCGTCTATTTTTCATTAATAGGATCAACCGTGTGAACCGGGTGACCAATGAAAAGACGTCAGTCTTGGAAGCGGAAGAAAAAAACGCGAACTCTATTTTTTACTAAGAGGGTTATACCGAGAGGGGCGTGTGTGTGACAGCTGGTCTGCGTGCAGGAGAGGTGGGAGGGCCATGCAGGCTCATTGCAGCCTAGGCATACAGCGCGATGTGAGTGGGTGTGCTAGGTTTGCGTGCGTAGAGGTTGCCGTCGAATCAGCGAGGTGAGCGGTTTTCCGTTCCATTCCGTCCCGTCCCATCTTCCATCTGTTCCATCCCATCCCATCCCGCAGGGAGCGAGTGCTGACAGCGGAGGGAGAGAAGAAGGCGTACACCCTGCAGTCGGAGGGTGTTAAGATCCAGCTCATCAACGAGTCAGAGGGAAAGCTTATCCAAGTACAAAACGCTGCGAAGGCGGACAAGGAGAGGATCAGGCTAGAGGCAGAGGTAGGTACACGGGCCCCGACGACCATTCCGCAGGCAACCCAGGCCATGTAACAGACTCTCTTGAGCGCCTACCGTAGGTTGCACAAGATACCACACCCCCTGGACGGATGTTTTGCTGCTACCCCAAGGAACGATATGAGACGCTTTGCGCTACTTTTGTTGATCAACACCCTCTTGATCTCGTGCTACGGGAGGGATGCGAAGCGCCAGGCTATTTACCCCAAAAAAACAAACCTTCCCACATGACCCACCCGACCCTTAACAGGGCGAAGCAGAGGCCATTTGCGTCAAAACAAACATTCCCACCTGACCCTCAGCAAGGCGCAGCAGGGGTCATATGAGCTAAAATTTCCAAAACCGTTCCCGCCCAACCCGTAACGGGCGACGAAGAGGCCATTTTCGCGAAAAAACGAAAAAATTCCCGCCCCACCCGTGTAGGGCGAAGCAGAGACCATTTGTGCTTTACAGTATTTTCCGAAAACCGTTCCCCGCCCAACCTTTTAACAGGGCGAAGCAGAGGCCCGCCTGGTGAAGGCGCAGGCCGAGGCCCAGGCGCTGGCGGTGGTGGCGGAAGCCCTGAGAGACGCGGCAGGGTCGGACGCGGCCCAGCTGCAGATCGCCAAGCAGTACATCGACATGTACGGGGAGATGGGCAAGTCGTCCAACACGATGCTCTTCAGCGACCGCCCCGCGGACGTGAACGCTCTCATCGCGCAGGTAAGATAAGGGGAGAGGGTGTACTCATGTTTCGCATGCCTTAGTTGAACATCACCACGCGTCCTTGAGAGGACAAGAGCAGGGGGCGGGCTACAAACGTCGTTGTCGACCGCTGGGTGAGAGGTTAGGGTATCGAGGATGTTCTCAAAATGCTGTCGCTTGAAGTACTCAAGTCCTGCTCTTCGCTACCTTGGAGGGAGGGCTATTCACCCCACCCCACCCGCCCTTTGCTCCCCCCTCCCACGGCCTCACCTGATGACCATATTCTTGCACACCGTTGTTCTGCGCTCTTGTTGTACACTCGTGTTGTACACCAGGCCGCCAAAGTGCCAGCTCCCCTCCCCCCCCCTGTGCTCGCGCCCCCTGTCTTACCGCTCCATTCCCCACCCACCCCCGGCTTATTTTGTCAGGCATCTGCGGTATTGAGCTCCGCTGGGGCGGCGTCCAAGGCAGCTGCAGGCCCAGAGCCCGGGCCACCGAAGGCAATATCTGGGGGCAGCTCCTCGTGAATCCCATTTTTGACTTGGTAGTAGATTGTAGTAGAAGCACAGCACCAGGGTCGGGACCGCTCACTTCTGTTGTAGCATACCACATATAGAGTTCAGGGAGAATCGATCGCACCCTGTGTGAATTGAGTAAGGGATGACAATCGCGGCTCGCAAGGCTAGAAGACGACGCACGCAATTGTCGGGATGAAGCACACAAGCGGTAAGGGTGAGGCCGGCCCCTCTCCCGCGCGAGCCGTACTGCATACATGTAGGAGGGGTGGGTGTGTGGCGGCGAGAGGGCTTTCCTGTGTTGGTGTGTACAGTATCACCGCAGCGCGTGTGATGCCGACCGTGCCTTGTTTACTGTCTGTGTGCCCCCTTTCTGAGAATAACTGCGCTGGAGAGGAAGCAAATAGGAAGTTGTTGGTGCAGAGACAACATGTCCTATTGAGTTTCAGATATTAACACCTACGATAGTGGGTGGGGAGCGGCTGGTCACGCGCCGCCAATAGCGCGGGGCGCGCGATGATCCTCACGCGGCATGTGTGTCGTGAGAAACGATTGTGGGTTTCTCTCCACAGCCAAACGTTGGGGAGGTTAAGCGCAGGTTGGCCGAAACGGTCGGCTAAGACCATTGTGTGCCCCAGATCCCTCCAACACGCCAGTTCGCTCGTAGAGTTGCCTTAGGGCGGAGACGGCAGCGATCTGCTGTCAAGCGTAGGGGGCGCCCCTCTCGCTGCTGTCGATCGGGATGATTGATCGTTGTTCCTAGTGTGAGAGTGATGCGTGTGGAGCAAGGCTGCTTTTGCCAGGGAAGCTATGGTCTTCGCGCAGTTGGCTTGTTGTGTCGTATGCCGGGCTTTCGCGATGTAGTCAAACACACGCATGGAACCGGTCTGAAGAGTGTGCTGCCCACAAGTGTAACACGACTGCAGATTGCAGCCGAAAAAGTGGGACCGTAATCGGCCAGCATGACGATCGACTTCGTTGTAGGAACCTTTCTCATCTCGTTACACGGAGAACAAGTAGCGTTAGAGCCGACTGAGCATAGTAACGAGTGCACGCCTCTGCGCGTTTTGGGGGCGTGAAAGAGAAGAACGTAATCCCCGTCCTCTCTAAAGATGGAAACGCTTCGATTGCGTCGCAACACACAGAAAGAAAGCCCCCGCTACCCCGTGCCACCACCACGAACGCTCAATTGCGCGTGAGAATCGGGTCCCCGCAGACAAGAACAGCAGCAGCGTCACCCAATCGAATAAGGTACATATCCCCCTGTCCGCACCACAAACACAGCCGCTAAACGCTTAGATTTATACCAGCATGCGCAAAGGTAGCCGAGCCCACTCGAAACCGTTAACAACCCATTTACTGCAGAAAGCAACAACCACTTACTGTAGCCCCCTGCCCTCTGTTCACGAGACCATCAATGCCTTCTCATGTCACACGCACTACGAGATGATGCGTTCTGCTGGCCAATTCTAGATATCCAGCGACAGGACAGAAGATTGGGGAACGGGAAGGGGCGGCGGCGTACCCATGTGTTGCATGCCACGAGAGGTTAGACCATTGGCCACACGTCCTCGAGAGGGGCGGAGCATTGTTCTCACAGGACCGATCACCGATGGCCGATCGTCCCCTCCGATCTTGCCAAGGGAAAGAAAGGGAAAGAAAGGGAAAGAAAGGGAAGGGGAGCGCCAGGCACAGCAGTTCTTCGGAGGATTGACTCGAAGTGCTCATCTCCACCCTTCCATCTCGTCCGGCTCGAGCCGTTTCTCGATGCGCTTCACCGTTTCCATGTCACCTGAAAAGGCAAGCCGACCATACGTTTAGGTGTTTGGTTCAGACAAGCTCGAGAGATGTGATTGGTCGATCAAGACAGGCATAGTTTCGGTTCTCGCTTCGTCCTGCCCAAAGCCCCCCCAGAAAGCATGCCGATTCAAAATAAGTGATGCTTTAGAGAACTCGGTGTCACAATGGTCTTTTCGTCTTTTCGGGACCGCGAGGTTTATTGCTCGAGAAGACAGCAGCTGTGATCTGCTTCCACCATGTACAACGCTCCCCGAAAAGCAAGCCGATTCCTGGTCATTTTCAGCTTGTAGAGAAGTCGATATCGAGATAGAAAATACTCGAGAGGTTGGTTGCACGAGAATAAAGCTAGCTGTGTTAGGTTTCCACCATGTATGAAGCTCCCCTTAGAGAGAAAAGGTACATATGAAACCTCGCTAGCAGAAGTCGTTCGCCTCTCTCACTGCCGTCGCTGTTTGCTCGATGTCATGGCTCGCGGACGTCCCGTCTTACGTTTACCAACCTTCTCGCCTACAAACCTTCCACAAATACTGTGACACACGTGCCCCCGCTCCCCCCGCCGACAGTTCGGAAAATAACAACATAAACATCAACACACAAAACAGATCCCAACATAAAAAAACAAGGACGACACAACGTGCTGATAGACAGACACAAATCTTGTGTCACGCGTCCTCCCGCTCCCCTAGATTTCCCCCGCCGACAACCACGAAAAGAAAAAAAACATGAAAACAAAAAAGGGAGCCCAACAAAAAAACAAGGAGACTTGTAGGCAAAATCTTCTTGTGACTCGCGTCCCCCCGCTCCCCTAAACTTGTCCCACAGATATCTAGAGGAGAAAAAATAAAATAAAATGATCCCAACAACGAAAGCAAGGACGACGCACCGTGCTTGTAGGCGTTCTGCATCTTGGCCCGCAGCAGGTCCTGGCTCTGCATGTTCTCGCGCTTGGAGCCCGTGATGGAGGCCTTGACGAGGTTGTCGAACTTGGCGTTCGCCGCCTCCCTGGCCCTCCGCTTCTTGAGGTTCATCTCCATCTCGTCCTCCCTCATCGACAGGGCGTCGCCCGAGGCGCGCCGCTTGGCCTCGCTGGCCTTCTTGCCTAACAAGTATATATATAGGAACCAAGGTTTAGAAGGACAAATAAGCACGTTCGTTCGTTCGTTCGTTCGTTCGTTCGTTGTGGAGTGGTCGGCACACAGCACAGACAATTGGTGCAGTGGTGAAGAGAAGGAAAAGAGGCTTGTTGGTGTGTTGGTTAGTTATTATAGTCCGAGCACAGCACTATTATATTCTAAGTCAGTGGACACGGGGAGGAACTCTAGTCGCTACTGTGCCAAGGGAAGAAGGACAGCAAGAAGCGTGTTCACTCGCTTTTGAGCTTTAGTCCGCACATTGCGCTGTCATTGTCAACAGAGAGAAAGAAGATAGAAAGAAGGGTAATCGTTAGACGATGAGCTAATCCGCACACAAGCACCATGTATAGTCGATAGAAACAAGGAGGAAGCAAGGGGGGGGGTGAACACAGGCGACGCAAGCAATAAAAAAGAAAACAGTCTTCAACGACGGAAGAGAAAAGGCGTCCTTTTGTACCGAAGGTCACCACCGTAGCCACTACAGTAGAGATTAGAGTGACACAGATAGCGTAGGTCTCGTAGACAACTCACGGTGAAACTCCGCCATCTCCCACTTCTCCAGATCGATGTACTTGTCGTGCGGCAGGGTGCAGGTGTTGAAGTCCTCCATGTACTCACGGAAATACTGCTTCGTCTGAACCGACGAGAGACGAGACGAGACGAGACGAGACGAGGAAAGAGAGAGAGAAGAGGAGACCACAGGAGAGCAGGAGTTGCGAGGTGTAGACGAACCGAGTATAACAAAAAAAAAAAAAGTGGCTTGTGATGATGACGGCCGTAGAGAGAGGTTCGCGAGCAGGCGTCAGAGTGGGCAGCGCGATACAAAAAAAAAAAAAAATCGAGGAACAAACAAGAGCTCTCTGCCCTCTTCCTCGCAACGCGCCGGAAACAGCGAGTACAGCCGTGACTGGTATTATAGGAGGAGACGGATCGACACCCCTCTTCGCGGGCGGCAGACCGCCACAGCAACACCAAAACCAAAAACAACACCAACACCAACACGCCCGGCACAACGAGGATGCACGAACAAACGAAATCAATACATATATCTAAAAAAAAGACGACGAACAAATTTGTACGGAACGTCCTATTACGACATTTGCAAACAACGTGTCAACACGACAACCGCCGAAGCAGCAGCACGCACCTCCCATTTCGGCATGCCTCCCGTGTCGTGGATCTTCTTCTGCTCCATCATCCACACCTGTCCAGACCGACGTTAACCACAGGGGACGCCGCGTTTGTTTTAAGGGAAAAGAAACCGGGAAACTGTTGGGATCTATTGTAAGGTGGAAGGCGGGAGGGGAGGGGGCGCCGCGGTTCCACGGGTACGTCATGCCATGCGAGCAAAATAAGGGAAACCACAAAAAGAGGGGGGGAAACACAACAAAAATGACCGAATGAGGCAACAAACCCAGCAGCCGCGACAAGGACATGACACCCCGCCGCCAGCACACGCAAGGATGACGACCAGCTTCCAACAACCAATTCGCCATCCCATCCATCCCATCCATCCCATCCATCCCATCCATCCCATCCATCCCATCCTGCCCCCCCCCGAAGTCCTCCTGCCCTCGCTGGAGAACTTAGCCCACGGAGAGAGAGAGAGAGAGAGGAAGAGCAATATCGGGCCACAGCACACGAAGCACCAACCCGCTACAAGGGTCAAGCCATCCACACAACAACACGCCCTCAACGTCGGTCCCTCCCTCGCTTGGACGGCAAGACCTTCTTCCCTGCCCCCCGCCCCACCCCCCCCCACACACACCGCGGTTCCCGCCTTGGAACCAACCCCTCGTGGACATGCTGCGCCCGTCGGCCATGCGAAAGACACACCTCGCCCTCCGAGCACGACCCACAGTTGACACATGCGATAATTCTTCACCTCCCCTTCATCCGCGGTACGCCGACCGTGGCGCGAGGAACTTAAGATCGCAAGGATTGCACCACCGCACTTCGGGAAACAACAGAAACGACAACCACAGCAGCAAAGTGGGTGATATCTGCCCCCTCCCCCCCCGTTTTCCGCCGGACTTCCCTGCCGAGCAACAAATATGCGGCCTACAAAACTCCTTCTACGGGAAAATGGCGCAAACAGCACACAACCGTTGTTTGAGATTTCGATTTCTCCCGCCGGCGTGCCTCATTCGTCCACACACCTCCGCCTCCCCCCCAACAAACCTTCTCTTTCTCCCCCACCCCCCGCCGGTAACTGCTGAGGCATGCCAAACACGAGTAACTCCCCCCCCCCTCCCCGGCGACACCCACCTCGAACTCCCTCTGCTTGTTGAAGTAGTCGGCCTCCCGCAGGACCCCGTTTTTTCCGTAGGCGTCCTGGTCCACCGCACCCATCATCTTCACACCGCCGCTCTTGTCCTTGGTCTTTGAGGAGGAGCCGGACTTGCTGTCCTTCTTCCTCTTCTTCTTTTTCTTCTTCGTCTTGCTGCTGCTGCTGCTGCTGCTCTTCTTGGGGTGTGTGTCCCTGGACCGATCGCGGGGCTCCTTTTTTTCCTTCCGGGTCGACTTGTCGCCGCTGCTTCGGCTCTGTTGTGCGATTTGTTATCGTATCAATGATCGCAAGCGCATGGACAGCAGTAGCGCCGAAAAATTAACAAATAATGCGGCATAGTTCATGCTCGCTCCTTTTGAAGCGGGCATGTTTCGAGGGTAGTCTTGGCATTAATGATGGGATGAAACATTGACTTGCCACGACGCGACGCGATCCATATCCCCCTTCTACTATTAGTGTTGGCCCATCAGTACTGAGAGAAGAGTCCCTGACTGCTGTAAATGAATTTCAATGCCGACAACCACCGCTGTCCGATAGGCTGTACACCGAAAGAGGTTCTTATACGTGCTTCTTAAAGCTTGGGAGCGATTCTTCGAGTTATGTTTGGACTCGAAATTCTGGGCGATACACAGCATGAGCACCAATCAGCAACAACGGCAGCAAACTGCGTATATAGCCTCGAATGCGCGCGAGGGGGGAGGGGGGGCGAGTACCTTCTTGTGGCGCTTGCGATCGCGGTCCTCCTTGGTCGCAGTGCTGCTGCCGTCCACGCTGCTGCGACGTTTCTTCTTTTTCTTGCGGCTGCTGCTGCTTCGGTGGCTCTTTTTTTCGCGACCGCCTCCGCTGCTGCTGCGATGAGCCTGAAGAACGTGCACGTAGCGGCAGGGGTGACCAGGTTCAAAGGGATAAATTAGGACGTATCGGGAAAAAATGAAGCGGGATAATAGGTTGTGCTGAAGAGAGCGCCTAGAAAAGCGAAATAGCCGTGTGTATTTACCCGATTGATGGCACAACAGTAGATTCATAGCCAGCAGAACCCGCCTACGCTTTCGTTTGTCAGTGCGCCTACGGAGAACGTACAAGCATCAGCGATGGCGGTCGGCCGAAGAGCTAAACAGGGCACAGCGCCGATACACTGCACCCGCCGCGGGGGGCTATAATATTTGTGAATATCGATTTCTTCCTCCCAACAGTAGTAGTAAGGATGACAAGAGCCGCCCCGACCACACTTGCAACAAGACACTTTTTTTGAACCGCCGACACTATCGAAACCCAGGGTACCACACCTCTCCATACGCACAGGAAAGAGGCAAAACAACCGATGGGACCCCTAAGCGTCGACTCTGCACCACACCTTGCTCCTGGACCGGCTGCGCTCATCCTCCTCGCTGTCCTCGCTGCTGCTATTGCTGCTGCTGCCGCTGCTGCTGCTGCTGCTGTCGTCGTCGCTGCTGCTGTCGCTGCTGCTGCTGCTGCTGTTGCTGCTGCTGCTGCCGCTGCTGCCGTCTCTGCCGCGGGAACCCTTATCGTCACGATCCCTGCTGCGTTTGCGACCACGCCCTCCTTCAGCAGCAGCAGCCCTGCTGCTGCTGCTGCTGCTGCTGTTGTGATGGCGACGGTCGTGGTCCTTCCTGCTGCTACCACCACTGGCACGTCGGTGCTTGTCGTGATCGTGGCTATCACTGCTGTCATGGTGCTTGTCATGGTGCTTGTCATGGTGGTGGTGGTGGTGGTGGCGGCGGGAACGCTTCTCAGGAGAAGACACATCCCTGTCTTTCACGGTTGCTTCTTTCTTTTCCTCGTCGTCGTCGTCGTCATCTGATCCCACCGTCTGCCACATGCGGGACCGCTGCAGGATTGCATTCCTGGTGGGAGGGGGTGACGGGAACGGGAAGTCGGCGTGGGGGGTATGTATGCAACATGTGCTTGCGGGAGGGGGTGGCTCTAGTGAACGCATGGAGGCCGGCGGCGTGGGGGGAATACATGTGCTTGCGGTCGGTGTCGGAACTGGCTCTCGTGTACGTGTATTGCCATACATAGACTTGAGCGCCCCAAAGGAAGTGTTGGAGTATTTGTGTACAAGAACGACTGGTTCTACTGCATGGGTTCTGTGCAGTATTGTGAAGGCGTGTTTCCAAGTCTGTAACCGTCAGGTGAAGACAGCTTGGGCGTCTGAGTGTGGATAATAAATCACTCTGTGTTTACCCTACCTACACCTCGCATGAACAACGCCAGCAGCTCGAGAGGACAGCGTCCCTCGCTGCACAGCGTAAGCCACTTCGCCCAATAGGTTATGAGCCTCGTGGTAGGTAAACCACATCGAGTCACAATGTCCTCCGCCAATCCTATCCTGAAGGGATATATATGCACCGTTCAGCGGAAAGCCGGCGCACTACAATAGCTGGATTTCTTTCCAGCGAGCCCTCATGTTCGAAGCAGGCCTGGGAGAGATCATGACTGGGGCGGAGAAAGAGCCTGCGGCACTGACTGGAAATTCATCCCCGGCCGAGAGATCGGCTCATCAGTCATGCACGGAGGAGCGCGTGGATTCCGCAAGCACGGTGGTCGCGGACGAGGCGTTGACAACAACTCGTCGAACGGCCCGTCGAGCGGGAACAACTTTACGGCGGAAACGGTGCAGCAAGTGCGGGAGGTACACACAACAAGGAAACGAAGCGTCAGGGCAGGACAATGGTAAGAACCGTAAAGGACGTTGTCGGTACTGCAGAAACTCAAGAGGACATGGGTGGTACGACTGCCCACTGCGCGCGACGCACATAGAAGAGGACAAGGAAGAAAGAACCGAGCAGGCGAACACTGCTGTCGGACAAGAAACAACTACCCAGGCATGGTAGAGAAAGATAACGATGCTGCAGCAACGCCACCGGAGGAGCGAGCTGCGCTACATACAGGCACCGGCGTGCAGGTGGAATGATACCTGCCCCCACAGTCAAGCCACCAGAGAAGGGTACCCAGAGAAGAGCTGGCTGTTTCAAAACGGAGGAACGAACTGCTAAACACGTGCAGGTGGAATGATACCTGATGCAGTACCGCCACCAGAGAACGGGCTGCTATATACGTGCACTGCAGGTGGAATGATACCTGTGATGATGATGATGATGATGCAGTTCCGACACCAAGAGAAAAGGGCTGATTGCAACGAAAGGAGAACGCCTAGAAAGATAGATGCAGGTTTAATTATAATTGAACTGCCGCAGCCACGCCACTTGAGGAGGAGGAGCGGGCTGTGCCATACTGGCAAGTGAAGCATACCACTGGCGCGAATACGTTACCAGAAGAGGAACGGGCTGATTGCAACGAAAGGAGAAGGCCTAGAAGATACAACGAGCGGATGCAGATGATGAACGAGTGGATGCGCCATGCTTGAAACGAAAGAGAGAAAATATGGTTAACAGGTGCAGAAGGACACAACTGGCGCGGCAACTTCACCGAAAGAGGAGCCGACTGCCGCCGGAAGGAGCGAGCTTAAACGAAACAATAGTTAACAGCAATCAACTTGCCCGAACACTTCCCTTTGAGCGAAAATTGGACCACATCAAAGCAGGTGACCAAGACGAAGGAGACGACGGAGTCATGAAAATAGAAGTTGAATGGTACTGTAGATGTGTGGTATTAGTATTCAAAGCTCAAGAAGAACAAGACTGCGTGAAGATGTCAAGACGCTGCCGGAGGAAGGATGAAAATAGAAGATTTGTGTTGAAGGATCGGGAGATCTGTGTTGAAGGACAGACATTCGCTGCTAGTATGACTATTGATTGGCAGTTAGTGAAGAAGTGATAATTTGATTTGAGTTGAATATGCAAGTACTAATGTTACTTCGTCGAGAGGACATTAATATGGTTTTGAGAGGACACTGAAGAGAGTTTATTTAGTCTTCTGCATCAGAGCTGTAGAACGAGGTAGTTCTCGAGAGGACATGTTGGAGTATTTGTGTACAAGAACGACTGGTTCTAAGGCATGGGTTCTGTGCAGTATTGTGAAGGCGTGTTTCCAAGTCTGTAACCGTCAGGTGAAGACAGCTTGGGCGTCTGAGTGTGGATAATAAATCACTCTGTGTTTACCCTACCTACACCTCGCATGAACAACGCCAGCAGCTCGAGAGGACAGCGTCCCTCGCTGCACAGCGTAAGCCACTTCGCCCAATAGGAAGCCTTTGCGGGCCTCGTTTCAACGACTGGGTCGATGCACGCGGGCGGGGCACAGCTGAAGCCGTAATTTACAGACAGACAACGTTGACAGAGAGCCTCTCGCCTAAGCAGCCAGAAGGGATGCGTCTTCTTCCACGTATGCGTCTGCTCTCGCTTATACCTGTTTTCAGTCTTGAGCTCGCCCTCGGTCTTGCGTCCTGTGCCGTTGCCTGCGGCGGAACCGGCGTCGCTGCTGTCGGATCCCGAAGACCCACCGTCGCTGTCGTCATCGGGACGACAATGTAACAGAGTAGGCAGGGGACATGTAGCAGGGAAGAGAGAGGGTGTGGGTGTCCAGTAAGACGTATGCATAGCACGCAGATCCGAGGGTTGGCGCATCCGCACAAGGGTAGTCCGGATCCCCAGCATAAGAAGAGCGCTGGCTTCATCTGTGTGAGCGGACACGCGGACACGGCGCAACAACAGCATCACCTTGGTAGTAACCGCCGTGTCTGTTCTTGCAGTGCTGCCCATGGGTCGGACTACACCCTCCTGCAACTTAATAAATCCGAACCTCCCCAAAATGCTGCAGCTGTATCCCGACAGCAGGCTGCCACCGGTGTCTCTTGCTGTGACTTTGCCCGATTTTCTCAAGCAACGCCGCGCCCATGATGTTGCGATGCCTGCAAAAAGGGGAGCTGTACCGCAGCAGTTATGGGATTCAACATAGAATTTTGAGATGGTCACACCTGCCGACCGGACTGGAGCTCCTGTGCCTATGCTTCTTCTTGTGTTTGTGCTTGCTGCTGCTGCTCTTGTGGCGAGCCATGGCAGCTATCCCGGGTGCTGTAAGTGAAGTGCAACAGGCAATGGGGTGCCTCAACAGATTAGCAGCGGGGGCAACGCGGAATCAGACATATGAGCGTACCCCCCCCTCATTTTTTTTTTAAATGGAGGCACAACGAACACAACAGCAGTAGGACACACAAGCAGCGCGGTACACAAGTCACTGCAGGCGCGTTGATATCACGCGCCTTTGCCTTCCTCAGCCCGTACGTAAGCAAAAGTATGGCCGGACCTCCGTTAATCCCCTCTTCCTCCAGCAACAGCAACGCGAACGTCAAAAAGGATGACAAACCGAAGGACAAGCCATGTCCAAAGCGAAGGAGAAAATCGATCGACGATACAACAACACCCACAGCACCTCGAACATCAACAGCAGCGGCGCCAAATAAAGACGGTGGGTGTTGGTGATGACTGGCATGAGCAATCAAGAAGACTCCCGGGTAGCAGGTAGTAGCGGGCGTGATGAAAGAAAGGGCATGGGATGCGCAGCAGAAGGTACTCTTGAAATGTTGTCCCTTGAGTGCAGCGGCGAACTGTTGTTTGAATTTTGAATAGCCCAAGCGGTTTGTGAGCAAAGAGCAATGAGGAAGCAACACCCCGCAGTGCTTGGTACTTGGTGTGTATGCAGTGGGCATGCGACAGTAGTGGTGGATACGTTATTAGAGACTCGTGGGATTAAGGTATCCTTTGGTCGATTAGCGCACGACGAAATGGCGGTCCTTACAATTTAGAAACGAAGTTGATATACAGGCAGCCTCTCTGTGGATACATGTGCCGATGATGGTTTCCTGTGCATCCACGAGAGAGATAGAGCGCGAGAGCGTCCACCGCATCATACTGCCCAGACTTGACTCATGGACACACACGCAGAGAGAGCAGCAACAGCAGCATACACTTAGTGCCCAAAGAATTGTTGACGAACACGACGGGAAGGTGCCGAACACTCACCGCTGTCTGTGTCTGTGCTGGGATACGTACTGACATCGTGTCTGCCAGCAGATCGATTGGCACACGCGCCCTTCCCTCCGGTCCCCGCACTGTACCTTGCTGCTTGGCTTGCAGAATTCCCGATTAACGACCACCGAACTCCACCGCTACCGCTGTCCAATGCGAATATTGCGTGCCAGGGTGAACGTCCCGCTACTGCAGTGCACCACCGCCCTCGTACAATTCACAGTATGTCTTAGTCCTACTCAGCTCCGTGGTTACCCTCCCCCCATGTTACCGCCCGGGCGTGTGCGCGCACGCCCAGCAGGAGCTGGCCCAAAGGTGACGCAAGAGAAGGAGCAAGATCATGGCGAGACGGCAAGCGCTGATGCCGACGCTGTTATTTCACGGACCCCCTTGCCGGAAGACAGCAGCGCCGCCGCCACCAAAGAAGGACAAGAAGGACAAGGAGGCGGTGACGACGCTGACGGCATGGCTGTCGATGCCACCGAGACCGCCGGTCGAACGACAGACGCCGAGCAGGCGGAGGGTGCCGAAGCCGAGCAAGGGGAGGAGGGTCAAGACCATGAAGAAGAAGAGGAAGAAGAGGAGGAGGAGGAGGAGGAGGAAGAGGGGGAGGGGGAGGCAGGGGTCGCCGCATCGCCGCCAAGCGGAGAAAAGCCCGACGGGAGCAAGATAGCCAGGGCGCGGTCCGCGTGGATGCTCTTCCTCGCAGACAACCGGGAAGGGGTGAGTAGTGGCTCTGGCTCTGGCGTTTATGCGGTGTCGCTACCCCCCTCAGCTGTCTGTACAACGTTGGTCCGCACTTTGAAGTAAGCACGACCCCCTAGGTTACGCCGGTACTGCTTTCGTTCTTCACAGCAGTACGAGTCTGTCTTTCGTCGTCGTTCTCGCTGGTACAACTGATGTTTAGGGCTCTTTGTATTGTTCATCTTCACGCAGTGCTAACACGGGTGCGTTTCTTTCGCCTCTTGACCTGTGCCTTTATGTCGTCCCTGGAAAATCTCCTCCTCCTCTCCCCAACAAATAAAAAAGGTACGCAAGGAACACCCGGGTCTGGCCGTAGGCCCGATGCAGAAGATTCTGAGCGAGATGTGGAAGGCGCTAGGGGAAGCGGAGGTGGCCCGCTACGCCAAGGTGCGCCCCTAGGCTAGAGCCCTGATTACATCTGAACAAGCACAGCACGTCTGTCTGAATTATCGTCGGGTACGCGGGTTTGTGTCCGTCTCATGAAGTCCTTTTTTTTGGTATTGTATTGGCGGGAATATCGCCCCACCGAGTAAGCCTTTTTTTATTTTGGTCTTGCCGTAATAACGTACTAATAACTAATAACCTAACGCAACACACTCAACTTCGTATGTCACGTGGTTACGAAGTGCTCTTAGCCGTTGAGGGTTTGGGGGGATAGGGTCTTGGACGACGCAACGTTTTACAACGCTGACGCAGAGCGAAGTAAACACGTGGTTCCGGGACCCCCCCCCCCCCCCGTGTACTGAGCAGGGGTTTTATGAAAACAGCTGCCATAAACCCCCTGTTCGGTGTTTATCTAGCCCGCACACATTCCGATGCATTCGCTGATGTTTTCTGTCGGGAGAGATGCTGTCGTAAAGGACAAGATACAACATGCAAAGCATGCCATAAGTCACCACACAGCAGTCTTATTGTGGTTGACGAGGGTGATCGATGCGGTTGCTGCAAATCAAGAACAAAAGGAGTCAATAAGACCCACGCCGGCAATTAGCGCCTCTATGTCGGAGGGGGACGCACGCACAGCGTTCTCCCCCCCCCCCACCCCCACCCCCCCTCTCGACGATAGTCTTAGTGATCCATGATCGTGTGACGATCTGCTGGTTCTGGCTGCTGACCTATACTTGCAGCTGGCGGCGGAGGACAAGGAGCGGGTGAAGAACGAGCTCGCGGCGGCGGGACTAACAAAGCTGCCGACCAAGAACAGGTGATGACTCCGTTGTTGCGTGCTGTTTGCGTCTCTCTCTCTCTTGTTGTAAGAGAAAAGCTCGCCGTTTTCGTGATGAAAAAACGGGCCGTTTCATTTTTTTCATGAAGATTCGTCTTCGTTCTCGAAAAAATTTGTTGCACACGCAGCAGCAGCAACAGCGGCAGCAGCTCCTCCTCTCCCCCCTTTATTTCTTTCAAGGTCGAGACAAGACCCCCCCCCCCCCCCGAACTCTTTTCTCCGGAACCCCCCTTTGGTGGAGCTCCTCCGCCGCCGTCGCCGGGGGGCCCACGAGCCTGGGGGTCCCCCTGGGGGGGGGCCCCCAAAACGTCAGGGTCCACCCTTTCGTGGGGAAAATTTCGAAGGGGGGGTTGTTGGTCCTCCCCCAGGGCCCGGAGGTTTTTCTGGGTGTTCTGGGGGACCCCGCGTGGAAAATCCGGGGAAAGGGGGGTGTGTGTTCCTTCCCCGCCGCCATTGTCGTTGTTGTTGGTGTTTTTGTTGGCGTTTTTGCCGCCGCTGCCGCTGCCGCCGCTGTTGTTGTTGTTGTTCCTGCTGCTGGTGCTGCTGCTGCTGGTGGTGTTT